GTAGAGTGTCAAGTATGCCAAGTCAGAGAAAAAGAGACCCAGGCACATCTAGCAAGTTATAATGAACAAAAGAGTTTGTAGAAACAAATCCAAAAAGTTGCAACAGCAACGGCATAGAATGGACTCAAAAAAGAGGAGAAGAACAAAATTCCACTACAAGTTCTTTATAGGACATTGTTCAGAAAAACAGAAGCAGGAGAAATTACAAACAGAGAAGTGCTAATAAAAGGACTCACAATGCTAAAAGTAGAGAAAAGATTGGAGCAACTCCTAAGTAAGCAAGCAACACAGAAGTGCATAGACATAATTACAAGAACAGTATGGAACACTTTCTATAACCAAGTATGGAGGGTGCGATGTGAAAAAATACAAGCTTGAGAGAAAAAGATCAATATAACGAACAAAATGAAAAAAGGTGCTCATGCAAGAGGTAAACCAAAGAAGAAAATAAAGAAAGATAAACAACTAAAGAAGAAGTAAAAGAACAGAAGGCAGAAAAGGCAGACCAAATGAAGAAAGAAGCTTTAAAGACAATAAATATGCTTGTCACAGAAGAGAGAAGACCCTTCTGGTATGGCTTTAAGTAGTTAGATGAGCAGTTTATTCTTAACTAGAATAGTATAACAGGTTGCACTTAGGTACCATTAGGGTGGCCAAGTGATGCTAGACTTAGATGTTGGGAAATTCTATGTAATTGTATAGATATATAGTTTCAAGAATCTTAATAAAGTATTAGCATAATTGCTTAAGGTTAAAAAAAAAAAAAAAAAAAAAAAAAAAAAAAAAACTATTTAGTTAGTAAAAATCTTATATATATCTTTAAGTAAATTTTATATTATAAATATTCAAACTCAAACAAGTTTATGAACTTCAAACTAAACTAAACTTGTTTAAAAAGTTCAAAATTAAACTCAAATCTAAACATAGTTTTTAAAAAGTTTAGATTCAAGTTCAGTTTAAAAATATAACTAAACTTGAACTTACTTAAAAGTTCAATTTAGTTCAGTTTATAAAATTACTATTTGTGATACTAATAGTAAAAAGATTCAAAATTTATTTTATTTTTTTTTTTAACTTTGATGCTCAGGTCAGGGGTGCGTGTGGCACTCTTTTATTAATAATGTTTATTATTATCTGTAATGTAAATATTTATATATATTCTCTTTCTTTTTAGATAAAAATCTTTTTAAGCTAAACTATACTACTTTGATTTCTTTGTTTAAATGGCATTTAACTGTACTTAGTATACTTGTTAGAGTTTGGTAATCTTCTCCTATTTAACTTTTGTATATTGGCATCAAATTTCATAGATTGTGTTAATATGCAGCCATAATGCTGTTTGTAATCCTTCTTTACTCTTTATATTTGATGCATTAAAGATTTTTTTTAGTGTTCTGGGGAGATATTCAGCTTGTCCAGTGTCAAGAAAGAAGTAAACTAGCTTCCAAATTTCTTGACTGATTTTGCAGTTTAAAATAAAATGCTTGATGGTTTGCAGTTCATCAATGCACTATATATAGTTACCACTTTCTTCTGGGTTTACATGATGCAGTCAATAACTAAGTAGAAGAGCTTTGTGAAAAAGGCACTAGGCAATATCTTTTTTTCTATTTTCTATTGCCTTTACATCTAACCATTGATTAATAAAGCTTCTTTTCAGGTTTGTATTTATAGGATTTGTAGTTTTTTTTCTTAAAAATTCTGCTAGACTTTTTACTAAGATTTTATTTTCTTTTTTTCCTTCTGCTATAAGGTCTTCTTTATGCTAAGGCCAATCAGTAGAAGCATCAACTGTTTCTTTTACTCTTTTTCAGGCAAGTATATATGGTTTTCATTCTGTTGGCCAAGCTGCTGATTTTATTGGTGATCCTTTTAATACTTGTAGAACTGAGATATTTTTTTTTTCTTTTATTATTATTGTGATCTTTCTTCTCTTGAATTTAGACCATAAAAAGTTTTCTATTAGGAGCTTTAGCCAAACTATTAGTAATTTTGTGTCAAGCATATCTTTTATAATTGAAGCTTCTAGTTCTTGTTGGTCTGCAGAAAGCTGAAAGACTGAGTATTTAGATAACATCTTTGAAGTTCCTTTTATTCATAATGTAATTATCCAATTGATCTTTGTTATTTGTTTTTTGTTTGGTCATAGAAGATATGCTATATACCAAATTCTTGAAATTATTAGTGATTTAACTATTAATATTTTCCCTTTAAATAAAAGGTTTCTTTAGACTATGCCTTCTAAGGAGCTCTTTAGCTTCTTGATCATTGTTGGCCATAGGTCTTTTTTAGATTGTCTATTAAGTTGAATCATATATCCCAGAATGGTTAATGTTTTATGTTCTGTTACTTTTTTGAAGTGTTCATCTTCCAATAATCTGACTTGTCTAGCACTTGCAGTGAGTAGAACTAGTTTAGTTTTATGTTTGTTAATTTTTGCATTAGATGCAAGCTTGTATGTTTTAAATATTTGTTTCAATATATTCCAGTCTGTGGTTGATCCTATGCCAATCATTAGATCATCAACATATGCTGTAGTTTTAAAGAACTGCTTTTCTAGTAGAATTCCTTTAAGTTTTCTTTCTAATTGTTTTAGCATTGATTCAAATGCTAATACATATAGAAGAGGAGAGAGAGGATCTTCTTATTACATGCCTCTTTCTACTCTAAAGGATTCAGATAAGTTATTTCCTTCTACTATATAGGCCTTCTGATTAGTAAAGAGGTTTTTGATTAAGTTAACAAATCTTAAATCAAAGTTCATTTTGTTCAGTACTAATTTCAAGAACCTATGATTTACTCTGTCAAATGCTTTTTGCTGATTAACAAATAGCATCCAGTATTGCTTAGAGTTATCCTTTTGGTTTCTCATTGTTGTTAAAATATCAAGGGCTGTATCTGTTATAGACCTGTTTATAATAAAGTCTTATTGGTGGCTTAGAATTATATCATTACAGATTAAATTTAACTTGTTGGCTATGATCTTCATAAAGATTTTTGCATTACTGTTAACTAGTGAAATAGGTCTCCAGTTGTTTATATTGTCAAGCTCTTCTGATTTTTTCAGAATTAGTATGATTAAATTCTTGCACCATGAGACTAGAAAAATGCCAGAGTTTAGAGTTTTATTAAAGATCTTCTTCAAAACTGATGCTACTGTTACTTCTGTAAGTTTGTAGAACTTATAAGTTAAACCATCTATTTTAGGGAACTTGTTATTTGATAAGTTTCATATAACTTCTATTATTTCTTCTTGTATAATTCTTTTAACCAAAACATTATTGGATTCATATTATACTTGTAAAAGGTTTTCTGTGATTTTTTCTGCTACTTTCTTGTCAAACTCTTTTGCTTTGTAGATTTTTGCATATTGTTCTTTAATATACTGTAAAATGTCCTTACTATTTTGATAATTACTATTTGGAACTTTAATTTCTGAGTAGGCTGCCTGGGATTTTCTTTGTTTATATTTTATAAAGAAATATTTCGTTGACTTTTCACCATGTTCTATCCATTGCACTTTGGAACAGATATGCTATTTTTCTGCCAAAGCTGTTAATTTCTTTTGTAGTTGTATGTTAAGCTTATCTAAAGATGAAGACAAGCTTTCTGTATTGGAGGAGCCAGCTATTTTTTCACTTAACTTTGTTATTTTATTGTTAAGCTGTTTGCCTTAGTCATTTAGTCCTTTTATATTCAAAGTTGCGATTTTAAGTTTGAATTTTGGAGGCATATAAATGTACAAAAATTTTGACCAATTAGGTCTGTGAAGGCAGTCCCTCATTACATTGTTTCTTATAAGAGCTAGGCCTTAATTGGTTCTTATCTTGTAAGCTCTTTCCTTTTTTATCTGTTTTTTTTATGAGATGGCATAGGGGTTTCCTCATTGTCAACTTCCATTATAGGTAATGTTTCTTCTGTATTTTTGTTTTTTGCCTATAGTTCTGCATTAAAATACAGTACAGCCAGTTTATCATGTAGTGCAAATATTGGGTTAGGTGAGAGGTTCTTATCTTTACTTAGTGTAAAGTTTCTTTTATCGTTGTCTATTTCTATTGAAGGTAACAAAGACCCCTTTTGTTTATTTTGTGTTAAATCATTTTCTTGTAAGCCCACACCATCTGTGATAGATGCATCATCTTGCAAGTATAGGTTTTCTTCTTTATTAGCAGAACTACCTGCATGGTGTTCTTGTTCTGGTCTGATATTAGCTGATTTTTCTTTGCTGTATGATCTAATTCTTTTTTTAAAGTCTTAATATTGTTGGTGAAGGGCTACAGATTTCTGGAATAGCTGGCATTCCTTTTTAATATGCCTTTCTTTTTCACAGAAGTAGCATACTTTTGCTGCTGTCTTCTATTCTGTTGTGACCTTGTTATCCCAAATATGAGTAAATCTTGGTATTTTGCTTTCTAAAAATGGATTCTCTATAGTCTCAAAAATTATAACTTACTGATCTGTTAGGTATGGTGTACCTTTAATTAACAGGAGTTTAATCAATACTATTTTACCTATATTCTCAAAAGCATCTTTAATTGAATCTGCTAGTTCTTCTTTGTTGCCTAGTAAAACATTCCTGATTTTGACTGACAAGAATGATTTTCTCATATCTATTGGAATATATTCAAAATATGTTCTGTTAAAAATTTTAATACCTTTTGTTGCATAGATCTTTAGTTTTTCTTTGTCTGTGAAGATAATTTCTAAATGTGATTGTATTCCTTTAGTAAGATGTTGTTTAGTTGCAATAATGTTATTTTTAGCCGTTTCGAATAAAGATAATATAATTTTGTTAAAAGAGCATTGTAGGCTTTGTATATCAATAATAAGAGCATTTTTATTCTTTGATTTAATTGTGTTTCTAGAAAAAAAAGATGAGTAAGTTAACTGGTCTCTTTTAAGTTTAGGAAAGAGACTTGACCATTTTTTTGTTAGTAGTTTGGTTATTTTACTGGAACTAGAATTTGTATTTCTTTTCAAAATGGAGTACCCTTGTTCATTTATTGGTTCATTTTGAGTTGTTGTTTCCATGTTGTTTTGTTATCTGTACTAGCCTTAGAGACCTCTTTGTTATGTGTTGTTGTTTGGATATTATCTTCATTACATGTACTAGTTTCAAAGATTTCTTCATTACATGTATTAACTTCAATAACCTCTTCGTTATATGTAGAAGTATTGTTGTTTTGTTCTAAAAGTGTTTCTATATTGTCATTTCTTTTTACTGATAAGATTTTCTTTTTTGTTATATATGTTCTATTTTCTTTAAGTTCTTCTTTCTGTGTATTTGTTATTTCCTTAAATTTCTTAGTTTTTTGAGCTACTTGTTTATTCCAACTAGGGTTGCTTTTGTTGATATATTCTAGTGAACCTGAGTTATTGTCTTCTACTTGTATAGGCTTCTCATTTTTGGTGTTTTTCTTATCAGCATTTGTTGTTGTTTTTTATTTTTTTGCCATAGTGCCAAAGCTTTTTGTATCATTAAAAGCTTTAAAAGATCTTTTTCTTGTAACAAGGGCAAGTGCTCTTGCTTTGAAACCTTTTTTAAGATTGTTTGTCTTGTTGTTGTAATTTATTTTCCTGTTTAGTTTCACTCTACTTCCAAATGTGTATGGTTTGAAAAGAATATATGCAGATTTTTTAAAATTCAAAATTTTAATAATAAACATGTTTATGATTTCAGTAATAAATAAGTTTATTATTTTAGTAATAGAAGAGTTATTAATTTATTAGTATTATATGTTTATTATTGTTATTATATATATATAATATTTTATATAATTCTAAAATTGAAGATGACGATCTTAGTGTAGTGGTTGGGTTGTCATCTTCCAAGTGGCAGGTCTAAGGTTCAAATCCCATCTACGATGAAATTTGAAAATTATATCTGCGTTATGGTAACTGTCTCCTGTCGATTGGTTGGCCTCATATGGCTGTTACCCATGTACACCAAGCTGGGTCTTTTTAACATTGGAAGCTCAGGCATCTATGTGAAGTGTAACATTATACATATATAAAGGAATGTTTACCAGTATTGTATAAGACTTCAGTGCTAACCTACAATAAGATCACTGGGCATAGAAGACTAAAGAACTGAGATGACAGAAACCCACTTAGAAATTCCTGAATAAAGAGGTGACATGAACTTTTGATGATACCATCAGACTAGTTAAAGCCTACAAAACACCTTTATAGGAACTGAAGATTAAAACCGGATGGCAAATATGTGTAGAGGAGCATATAACCAACCAGGCCACCAGGTTCGGCAGAGGAAAAGAATACAGAAGTATATCATACTGGGCCATCTGGATTGGTAGTCTGAACTGAAACTGATAGTTCTGAGTTGCAGCTAGTAGGTAATGATAATGAAGATGCTAAAAAGATAGGTACTGGGGTTCTAGTGAACTTTACAAGGATAGAAATAGTGTAATGTAGTAGTTAAACAGGTAACCCTTATAACTGCAAGTGTTAGTTAACTATAGCATGTTGCATAAAACTAGGTCTATATGTGTAGGATATAAAGGCTCTAGTAAGTTTCCTATTAAGGATA